TTTTTGTTATTCTAGTATTTTAGTTGTCATTTAAAAAAGAACCGATTACTGATTCGAGTGTAAGAACTCGGATAAATAATCGAATACTTGTATGGGTATTTGAGGACTCCATCGGATTTAAGTATTTTTTTAATCGATTTCTTAAACTCATTTTTAATGAAGATTTTAAATAGGCAGTCATTTACTAATTTTCCATCGTTATCTTTCTATCCTTTTCTCAATTATTATTTTGGGGGGGGGGGAGATTATTAGTAACGCGGACTACCAGCCCCATTACTAGCAATATACCCCCTCAGGTTAACCTCACGGCGGTCCCTCAGGAAACCATGGCGTTGAATTCCAGGGTTTTTTACATCACGATGGACTAATTAACCTTTTCATTCTCATCTATCACTGGTGCCCCATCAGCGTATTCATTATATATCTATATTAGCGTATATATGAATAGAGAAGGCGGGCATTAAAAAAAAAATTGGGGTCGAGGACATAATATGTTTCTTCTTCCATTCTTCTCTATTCGTAATCATTTCCGCATTCATTCCCATTCTGGTCATATCATCTTTCACACAGGCCACCCATGTCTTTTTAGGTCTTCCTCTGTCCTTATAGTCAACCACGTTTCTTTCTTAAAATTCTCTCCTTATCCCTGCGCGTCACGTGAGCAGTATATTAAACATTGTTCTCAAAACAAAAATGTATTTGTTACATGAGTTAAAGCTGCATTTAATAAATACACTATGTATGTACGTAATTGCTTGATCTGTGTCAGATGATGCAAAGCGTATAAATAAATTCTAAATGAGTGCACTTAAATTGCCCGACCAACATTTAGGTACCCACTGAAGCTGCATTTGTTTGTTGCACTTGACTTATCTATTTTTGCATTGAATCAACAATGCAGACGTTGTTACTCCAACTTAAAGGTAGGCATGGATAATACGGATATCGACCCGATATCTATTCGATATACGAGTACATTGGGTTCCTTTGCTCATTGATGACAGCAAAAAGTTCATCAACCACTTCGGTATCGTCCATATCGGTCGGATATCTATTTTCGAATATGTTAAAAGTCTGTTATCTAAAAATAGTACATTACTGCAGCGACCAGCAACTGAGGCATTGATGGACGAAGGTGCAAATGTGGGCCGAAGCGTAGCCGAGACACACATACGCGAGTCCATCTATGCCTAGTTGTGGCCAAGGCTTGTACAGTACTTTTCTCAAACAATGCGCGGAAATCAAAAACACAATTTTACTTTTTAAGTTCAATGACGAATAACGAACAATAATAATTTTTCATGCGCCATACTGTTCCTGTGTTTTTTTTTTCAATAAACAGCTCTTTTTTTGCAAGCTAGTTCGAAATTTAAATAAAAACTTTTATTAGTTACTTCCTTGGTAGCCATGTTTCGAAGTAAAAGGTCATTCCATTTTTAAATTACAGGACAGATATGAGTTTACATAGTAATTTATCTGGCCGCAAAACACGACAGATATGGATTTTTATACAATTTTTGTCGGCCGCTGCCCGCATGTATCTGACCAGTACGACAATTTTATCTCGAAGAAGATTGTCAAAATAATGCTCACATTTCCAAGCATGTTTGAGAAAATAATATTGTACGAGTATAACAGACGTTTAACATTTTACATAAGGGGAGTTTGCCAATAGTTACCACGCTTGCAGGCGGGTTAGCAATCGCAGTTAGGCTTTAATGATGTTCCCCATCTCTTGACCATTAAATTCCCATAGTCGCCTCTTACGACATCCATGAGAAAAACAGATATGACCCGTTCAATTCCGGGACCACACGGCAATCTGACTATTCACGAGGTATACTTTTCAATCAATTTACCAGAGGGAGACTTTGTACAAAAATCGTTTGCTTGGGTACCTCTGTCCCATTCATGTTTCAACCGTAAAGCAGTTGTGTTTACATGGCTGTGTTTCGGTTTGAAGGGTATATGGCGTAAATTTACAGGGTACAGAGGAATAGCATCTGAGTCCTCAGGAATGGCAACGCATGGGGGGTATCATGGGCGAAACAATATACTCTGTTATGTCCATGGTGCTCATGTCTATAGGTGACGGTTACCACTTTCCATCAGGTGGACCGTCAGCTTGTCCGCCATTCTAAGTTGTATAAAAAAAGGAATGTTTGAATTACATTATATTACAAAAGATTACCCTAAGTTATAATTTTATAAATGATTCACTGTTTTCCCAGTGCTCTCAATTTGAAAGTACTGGGTCGAGGGCGTTTTTGAATGAATGTGCATCGACTAAATTAATCCTTACTAATATTATTAACTAGCTTTTACTCGCGACTTTGTTCGCGTCACTTGGATATTTCACTAATTCGGTTAATGAGCCTATATCCTTCTTCATGTCATATAGTACGTGTATGCCAAATTTCATAAGAACTAGTTGAGCCATTAAGGCAGTATGGTGATGATAAGGATGGAAACAGGTCAATTAGACCATCGTGATGAATTTGACAATAATTAACGGATAATTAAAACAATTATTATGTTATATCCGCAAATATTTCTTATTATATATATATATATATATATATATATATATATATATATATATATATATATATATATATAATTTTATTGACGTCATATTAATTTAGTCATTTTTTATCTGTAAATTGACGTATTATAATTGAGTAATGGGCTTTATCAGGTAAAAAAAACCTTGCAGCACTGCCATCTATTGGGCTAGCCTTTTTTGAAGTTCGCTGCTAATTCCTATCAGTGATAAAAATTCATAGATATTCTTAGTAGCGATGTTTTTATTTCTTCAAGATATAAAGTATATTTTCCAAAGGAGATATAATATTTTTGGGCTCAAGCCTAGTTGGGCCATGTTCTTATTTAGTTTGTAGTGTCCAGTGAGAGCCCTTGTTAATATATAAACCTAATTTTTACTCAAGATAGAGAGTAATTTCTTTGGGTAGTTATCTGAAAACTCCTTAGAGCTTTCGAGTAGTTTTTAGTTTTCAAAAGCCCGTTTGAGATATCTGATCTTTAGGCTTCGAAGCATGCTACCACAATAGGGGAAATTTACCAGAGGGAGACTTTGTACAAAAGTCGTTTGCTTGGGTACCTTTGTAGCATTCGTGTTTCTACCATGAAGCAGTTGGATTTGCATGTTTGTGTTTCGGTTTGAAGGGTGGGATATGACGTGAATTTACAGGGTACAGAGGAATAACATCTGAGTCCTCAGGAATAGCAACGCATGGGGGGTATCATGGGAGAAACAGTATACTCTGTTATGTCCATGGTACTGCTTATGTCTAAGTTACCACTTTCCATCAGGTGGGCCGTCAGCTTGTTTGCCATTCGAAGTAGCATAAATAGGAGAAATGGAGAAAATAATATGTATCTGACTAGAACAAAACTAAAGGTAATATTTAACCGACTTCAAAAATAAGGAAGTTCTCAATTCTGTTGTATATTCTTAACTTCATAACGCCATCAGTTCTAGAGCTATTTGGATTTTTTTTTTGTGCTTTCAATAGTTTAGTTTAAAAACCAAAATAACTGGTTTTGTTACGATTGGAATCGGTTTTTTTTTGTAAAAAAAAATGTTTTTGTTTATTATAAATACATCTTATTAATATTATAAATGCGGCAGTGTGTAAAGATGGATAGATCGATATATATATTTTATATATATCGATCTATCTATCGATCTATCCAAACAAGCATATGGTCCATCGGATAGTAAGTGGTTACCGTAGCCTATGAACGTCTGCAAAACTAAGCGAATTACGTGCGCGTTGCCGACCCTGAAGAAAGCTCTTTACCTCTTTACGGATATATTTGTTACTTTTTAACGGAAAAACGATTGAACGGATTTGATTGAAATTTGCTACATAGATAGGTTATAGTTTAACTCTTAGATTTTATATAGATAGACAGATCATTGAGTTTCAAACACAGGTCAACTATTTTTCAGCAATTTTTCAAATTAGCTGACTCATTTTTTTATCAGTAGTCTATATACTTACGCACGTAATGTATCTTGACGTATTTATATTTAACTATTTAATAAATAAAATTAGTTTTAAAAAAGCAAAAATTATTAAAAAAAAAACAAATACGAGTATAGAGGTTATAAAGGAAACATTCATAATTATTTGTCACGCAAAATTGTATGAAAAAATTTACTCGCTTTTCTCGAAGTATTTGTATGGAGACATTTTATGTATATAATCTAAGATCCTAACTTAGCTCCATTGATTCATGTAGACGAAGTCACGGGATACCCTTTTACATCCAATGACGAGTATAGTACGTGTATATCAAATTCCATAGTGACTGATTCGGTCGTTAAGACGCTAAGAGGTAATAAACAACCGAACTGTCAAATCTTAAAATCATTAAAGTAAATTTCTAATGTAATTAGTAGATATATATCATTTATTTTAACATTTATTATATAAGTAGATAGGTATTATATGTATTTATAGTGTATGTATTTATGTAATATTTTATTACATATTTTAATATTTTATTTAACTGTATATTTGTTTATGTATTAATAGATGTAGCACTTCAGCTGCCCGCTAACGTAATGCTTTCTTACTGTACTGGGTTGACTGGAAGAGATCTCTGTCAGAGATAAGTCCACCCTTGCTCATAACATTTATACATTATTTTATATGTAACTTACAAGTGCAAGAAAGAATATACATATATATACATATACATATATATATATATATATATATATATAAATAATATATATATATATATATATATATATATATATATATATATATATATATATATATATATATATATATATATATATATATATATATATATATATATATATATATTATTTATAATATTATTAACAATGCTAGTTGGAGATTTTTAAAACTGTTACGAAGTTCTGACGAGTATGACGTTGTATGTATTATATTATGTATAATGATGTCTCGTCATATTCGTATTAAAATCAGGTGTTCGGCGCCGTTAGTACACAGTTTACACTGAGCAAGCAATCGCTACAGTGTATCCGCGGCGGTCTATTCAGTCGGACGTTCTCTCGTCCGAGGCTATATTTTACGCGCGCTATTCGAAATTAGAATACAAAGTTTTCTTTTTTATTCTAACGAAAAAAAATTAAAAATTCTAACCTGCCAGTGTTATTCGAGAACAATGGGCAGATGATTTTGTTTCATTAAAAATAAACGTGTTTTTAAAATTAAGCGGATTATTTATCGTGGACCGTTTTGAGTTTGTAAAGGCTTTTAGACAAATTTGGTCTGTTTGGCTGTGTTAGTTTTAAGTGTTGACAAAAGCTGCCATGACCAATACGTAAGTAAAATATATTTAGCTTAACAACATAGTTAGCACAATTACACGAGTGTTTAGTATAATATAAGTCTTTGTGTAGTTGGAAAGTCGGTTTGAATTTGTAATAAGTTTGCAGAACGTAACAATTTCAAGTATTTGCATAATGATTGTATTACATTTTTATGCTGAAGTGTCATTTCATGTAAGCTGTTTATCCCGGATTCGCTCATGTTGAACTCGTTTTTTTATCTTTTTTTTTATTGCATTATGGGGAATTTAGGGAAATTCTTGATGATTGGATGGTACCATTGTTACCCCAATGATTTTAATTATGCGTGATAGGAATTATTTAGGACAAATATATATATAATATATTATTTATGCATCATTTATGTATGTATCTATATAATACAATTTTACCTTTGGCTGTTAAATTGGTACACAGGTTACACTCTGGGTTTGTTGCACGCGTCCGTGTAGCCTAACTTCAGGCTGCAGCTGAAAATCAGTGCTTTGTTTTTAAGCAAAACTATCACTGAGCTGTAGCTTATTCGGTTTACTGCGACACACTTGGCGAAAACATATTTCCATACTTTATCTTTTGTTTTATATTTAAAAAAGTGTAAATAATCTGATTGTATAAACTCATTTGTTAATTCACGTGTGTCATAAATGGCTCAAATAAAGTGTTTATCTATCTATCTATCTAAATATATTATAACAATATATTAAGATTTTTTTTTTCCGAATCCGAATCCGAAACGAAGATATCCGCAAAAGAACCATCGTAACCAACATAGTCCAAAATATAAGCAAGCTGAAGTGGCAATGGGTTGGTCATATAGCTCGAAGGACCGATAACTGATGGGGAAGAAAGATTCTTGAGTGGCGACCCCGCACGGGCAAACGTAGTGTAGGACGACCCCCCCCCGCTAGATGGAGTGACGACCTGAAATGCAAGGCAGGTAGTCAGCGGACGCAGGTGGCTCAGGACCGTTCTTTATAGCAGTCTATGGGGGAGGCTTATGTCCATCAGTGGACGGATAATGGCTGAAATGATGATGATAATTATTTGTATTTGTATGTTTGTTTGAAAAATACCATCTTTTTTAGAAATATTGAAGGAATATAGTAAATAATATGCTCACGGTTATAATCCCTAACGGGGTGGTCAGAGGTACTTATTGATCTTTTGCCGTTATGGTAGCTAGCGTCACTCGGCATGGCTGCAATCCGACGTATTAGGAAAAAAGATAGATAGATAGATGCTTTATTTAAAAAAAAATAAAATAAAAAAAAGGTTAGTAAAAATAGAAATACGAACTTAGTACTGATTAATTAATTAATTACATGATTTGAATTAATTAAAATTCAATTAAGTTAATCAACCTCTTGTGCTGACTTTGTATAACTTAATTTTGATTTGTATGAATAAAACCAATAAATATAAATAAACGTTTTTTTTTTAATGGATGAGAATGGAATGGTAACCCCGCCTGCGCAAATATACACTAGCGGGGCACCAGTGAGCGTTTTTTTTTAATGGATCATGGAATGGTAACCACCTCCTGCAGTATCAGTACACACTGGCGGGGCACCAGTGAGGAATGATAGATGAAGATGAAAGCAGGTCAATTAACCCATTGTGACGAATGCGACAAATATTAATCACAATGGTTTCTAGGGAGAACCGCGTGGAGTTCGACCTGACAGGGCTTGTTAGGCACCAGTGAGGGATGATAGGTGAGAATGAAACGGCAAGTAAGTTATTCCATCGTGATGAATACACCTGGAATGCAGTACGATGATTTCCAGGGGGAACCATGTGGAGGTCGACCTGAGTGGGTTATATTGCTAGGAATGTGACCGGTAGCCCATATTACTAACAATTCCTACGAGATCTAGTAGAATTGTATATGTATATGTCACAGATCATTGAACGATTATGATAAATATTTACATAAGCTTATTAATATGATAACGTGAATTATATATTTATTTCTATTATTTTTCCTTAAAAAAATACATAAGTTTAAACTCTATTATTTTTTTTAATTTTTAAACTCTATTTGTTGCGAACTCCTTAATTATTTTTAAAGACTTTATTTTTATTGTATTTTTATACTTTTGTTTCCACCAATTGTCACTCTTTTGCTCTTTGCTGTCGTAGTCTATCTTTAGTAGTTTTCTTTATTATAGTTATTTTCCTTTTAAACCCATTGTTTGATTACAACATATATATCAATATACAGTCCATAATATCGCCCACACTATTAGTTTATTACTCTATTATTGTTAAAAGGCTGAATGAACTTGAATGTAGTTTAGTAGACAGATAATTATCCTACTTTAAAATATAGTGCACTTTATATCTACAATAATTCATGTGGGCAAACCCACAGAATACATCTAGCACCTAATAACGTTTATTAACTACCGTATCTACTCACATTGTTCACAATTAGTTTAATTCAAAACGTTATATTTATGTTTTTAACTAAGAATATCAATAAAAAGCAAAAAGTAAGATAGATCTTATTTTTAATATAATATTTCTGGAAAAGAAACATACGACCAGTCTGATGGTAAACGTTTGCAGTAGGCTATGACGCCTGCAACGTCAGGGTTGTCCTGTGCGAGTTACCATGCCTGATAAAACTGCTATATTCTCCAGCAAGTGCAATTTCTACGGCTAAATCTGTTCTAGATTTTATGGATATTTTATTATTTAGAAAGATTATAGTTGAAAACCAATAGTTGAAAGAAACAAGATATTTGAGTTATATGTATAAATTAATGTAATTTAAAATTTATTAAAAAAAAAAACAATGAATTTAGGCATGATCAAATTAATATGGCAGCAATACAGAAGGCAATCCTGTCGATTTTGTTACAAAAAATACAGGCGTATTGAGGACCTTCGTATTTTTTAAGTTTAATTATAATAAGATCTACAGGTCGATGGGATAGGCTATTCTCTGTTTTTTAATTTTGCTCGTGCGAGCCACGACTAAATAAATAAACTAAAATATTTACAAAAAAATGTTGGCATAAAAATGTGCATCAGGGTCGGTAACTCACACGTGACATCCCTAATGTTGCACGCGATCATAGACTACGGTAACCGTTTACTAATAGACGGGCTGTACGCTAGTATACCACTACTGTGACATAAAAAACGATGACGCAACCGTTTCATGACGTTCCGTTTTACCTTTTTAATCTCGCCTTAATTTGTATTCCTGGCTCAGCTGATGACATGCGCCTAACGTTACAATTCGCGTGCCGCTACTTTTTAACTTAATCTAAATATTACTTAATAAATACGCTTTGCACATATTAAAGATATACGTAATTCGGGCTATGTATTTTTTTTTTCTTCTATGAAAATAAGTTGTATGTATTAAAATATATATTTTCAATATATGCTTATCGTATTAACTTCGGATCCAATTCTCCCCTCAACAGAATGTTATCATCTTATTATAAAGTCATAACCGTGACCATGATATTGGCAATTCCTTAATACAAATTTATTAAGCTTATTATACATAGTATAGATTAATAATAATAAAGTTTTTTTTTATGCAACTTAGAATGGCAAACAAGCTAACAGCCCACCTGATGGCAAGTGGTAACCGTCGTGTATAGACATGAGCAGTACCATGGACATAACAGAGTATATTGTTTCGCCCATGATACCCCCATGCGTTGTCGTTAATTATAGTTAACATTTTTTTCTGAATGTGTTTGTTGTTGGCCGTGGGTGGCCTTTACAGCTTATATATATATATATATATATATATATATATATATAGCAAAATACGCTATCAGTCCACCTCGATGAAAGTGGCAAATGTAGCTAATTCACAGCAGAATCACGACTCTAATTTTCTTCCCAATTTTCTATATTCCGTCGAGGAAAAAGTTCAATTTATCTAATACATTCTTTAAAAAGATGCAAATTATTTAGATTACAACCTTCAGAATACACGAATTTATTAATTTTATCATATCAATCTCTCGCAGTTGTCTATTCAGCTGTGATAAACGAAAATTGCTCTTAATTCTATATCTAAGTGTTTATAATTAAATTTCTTTGTTTCACGAACATCTGTTTTTATTTCTCATTGTTACATATATATATATATATATATATATATATATATCTCTTTATATATATATCTCTTTATATAACTTAGAATGGCAAACAAGCTGACGGCCCACCTGATGGAAAGTGCCCCTCATGCGTTGCCATTCCTGAGGACTCAGGAATATGTTATATTACCATACCATACCAGCGGTTAACTAACCACTGTTGAACATAGGCCTCCCCCATTTTTTGTGTTTTGCTAGTAATTGTCACTGGCAGGCAGGTTGGTAGCCACAGTTAAGCTTTGGTGATATTTTAAGAGGGACGCTGCTGCCCATCCGTCGATTAAGTTTCCTTAGTTGCCTCCTACGACACTCACAGAAAGGAAGGAATGGTTCATCCTATGCCGGGACCGCAGTGGCATTGTTATATTATTGTACATTAGTAAAATTCTTGGAAGATTCTTATTCAGATAGTTTTTTAAGATTTACTTTACAAAAAAATCCTCAATCGTGAAATAAGTAGATTACGTTTCACAAAAAAGTCGTGGCTGCTAGTGATGTCATTAGTCTTATGTTATAACTTAAAGTTAATAAATAAATAATAACTTATATGACGCACGTCGAGATTTTGAACGCTAGATTTAAATTGTGTTTCAGTAGTACTTAACGAAAATAATATACTTAAGCAAAACAATTTTAATTAAGACTCCTTTCCACTCAAGGTTTGCTGGAAGAGAACTCTTACAGAGTTAAGCTTGCCTGTTGTATATCGTTATTCGAAATAAATTATTATATATATAAATTTAATTATAAACAAAAAATAAAGACTAAAAACATGAATTTCAGTTTATAGATAAAATAAATTTAACAATGAAATTACAAATCAAATTTCAAAGATGATTTGAATTTAAAATTTAAAATAAATT